CCAGACCAACCCCCCCATCCCCCCACCAAAACCAAAATTTTATTGCAGATTCGGGGTCCTCTCGCCGAGCGCAGAACGACCCCGGTTTTAATAATAAAATAAAATAAAATTCTGGGCGGTTTTTTGTCCTGCCCGGTTTACCCGGGCGGCCCCCATGGGCCCAACCGGATGGGCCCAGCCCTGTAGGGCAGGCCCGGCCGGGCGGCGTCCTCACTCAGATTTTATTTAGAATTTTTGATAAAGTATTGACTACTATAAAGTAATAATAGAAATAAATTCCAACCTTGAGTTGGGGAGTCCTGTGGAGAGGCGGTTAATTTCAGTTTTGAACTGGTTACTCAGGAGCTGAAAGTGGTGGTCCCGGGTAACCACTTGAGGTCCTGTGATGAGCGTATCTGAGAAAAGTGAGAACATGGCTCACAGTCACTGTGGTCCCCACAATGAACCTGGCCGGGTGATGGGCTCGTTCACTCCGGGAGCCGTGAGACGTTTTAAAGTGTGGTAAGCACTACGAGCCCTCGGTGTCATTCAAAAATCCCGAGGTTTTCAAAACTTCCACCGTAAGATTAAACATGAACTGAGGGGACCTCATGAGCACAGGAAACACCCAAAAAATAAATAAAAAATAAATAAAAAATAAATAAAAAATAAATAAAAAAGATTAAACTTGAACTGAGGGGCCTCATGCTGCAGCGGACAGACGTCGAGGAAAAAGGCGGCCGAGATCCTTCAGTCATTCGAAGAAGCATACGACAGCAAGCTCAAGCTGGTCCGGAAAGATGATAATACGAACTGCTGGCAATTCATCGGAGGAAGAATGTACGTGCTGGCAGAACCGGTCCAGATACATTTTGTGCAAGAGACGAAGAACTGCCAAGCATTGCGAAGTTCGGAGAAACTACGGTATCACTCGATGCAGGATTACGCAAGTTACTCAGACAAGCGTACGAAAAAGGGTGTGCTGTCAGCCACGCTCAAGAGACTCTGGTATTCTTCGACAGCACAGTCACTGGCAACCAGTTCCATAGCCTACGCGATGACCGAGAGTATCCTCCGGGGATACACCCCGGAGGTTTCTCTGGGTGCCTTGGCCAAATTGGCCAAGGTGACGGGCTGTGTAATTTTGAGAACGCTGTGTGCGGGGTACCAGCTACTCTGGGATGAAAAAAGATCGCGGAAAAGAAGATCTCCGACAGGGACACCAGACGGCGACCTCATCCGGAAGACACAGCCTAGATAGAGACAATCGTGTCGGATGGTAACCGCCCGCGGACTATTTTATTTTGTTTTTTGAGATTCTCTTTTTGTGCCTTTATGTTTTCGGGTACTGTCGGAACTTTTGTTTTATTTTATTTTATTTATTTTCAGATGATTTTTAGGAACCGACAAGTGTTTTTTCGGGCACAAGGCGACGATAACCGGTTTTGGGAGCATACGGTGTTACGCGACGGTTCACGGGTACGGTACTTGTTCGGGTTTCGGAGCTACGGGACGCTGAGATAGCAGGGTAGGAACCTGTGGGCATGCTGAGTACCGCGGCTGCTACAGCATATAACCACCAAGAGGCAAGGCTCAGGCCTCTTTTTCGACAGTGTTGCTCTACGAGAGCAAGCCATCCTGATGAGTCCGTTGGTAGGCGGATGAAACCGGTAGATGGAATCTACTTTGTTGAACTCCTGGGAGAGATAGCTATGGCAGCAGTGGATATGGTACTTACGTGAAGTGAAGTTTTGTCTTATGCTGTGAAGGTGAAACCTTTTGAAGCTGTTTTCTAATGTGTGTAACGAAGCTTCTCTTGTTCACGGTTTTGACTTTTGCTTCTGAGTGTGTATGTACTTTTCCAGTGCTACTGTGTCTCCCGACGGGCTGTTGCCGCAGTCTGCGACTACTCTGCCACCACTATGAGAAACAACTTTAAGAACAGCTGCAGTTCTCAGAAAAAACTGGCTATGATCCGCCCAACCACAGGCCAAACCTGGAAACAGAAGATCCTAACTGGAACCTCCTACTGTTTACACCTCCCCTTCAACCAGCGAAAACACGTTAAGTCCATTCTGAAGATGGAGTTAAGCAAAAACGCATGTACTTCGTCTTGGGCACTGGTTCCGTAGTAAAAACGATTTTCTTTGGGAAAGAAAAGGGAGGACAAGAGATACATCTAAAGGTTATGCCAGATAAGGCAAAGCCGCATAGGAGGGAGAGAGAGAGAGAGAGAGAGAGAGAGAGAGAGAGAGAGAGAGAGAGAGAGAGAGAGAGAGAGAGAGAGAGAGAGAGAGAGGTTTCAAACAGCCTCCGTTCCCATCTTTCTTGCAGTCAGGGCCTGTTGCGATCATAGTCAGAGGTCACCTCTTGCTTTGTGTCACGCTGCCGAGCTGCTGACCCCTTTATGGGAAGGCTTGTGCTTGGTGGTGGGCCACAGCGGTAGCGGTCGTCGTTCTGAGTCGTGTCAGGAGGTGTGTGTGTCGCTGGAGCTTGGAAGATGCCCCTTGAAAGGACACTAGAAATCCTTTGATGACACTAGTAAAAAACTAGTGTAACAGACCTCTGTGTCTTTTTTTGTTTTGTTTTTTGGTGATTCGAACACTCGCAGACACAGTGATCCGGACAGATCCAGACATGTCCAGATGGTCCAGATGGTCCAGGTCTCTCCTGTCAAGCCATGTCCGGATGGTCCCGCTCGCCCCATGGCACTTGTGTTCCGGACAGATCCAGACATGTCCAGATTGACCGCCCACCTTCCACATCAGCAACCTATGCGAATGCTCAAGCTAATGCCAATGAAGATAGACTCCGAAGATGCCACGTCAGCAAAGGAAGTGGGGAGTCTCTTATGATAGGCACAGAGTTTGATGATTAACTTATTCTCGAAGCAGTCTCCCTTACGATAAATACTAAGGGGCACTCTTGTGATCAGTCGTTGGTGGGGCCCACCAACGACCGATGCGATTCATCAAGAGCTTTTGTTCGGTGCACTTGGTCAAAAAAGTAATATGAGCCAAATCATGGCTTTCCCGCTGTGGCTGCATTTCTTCTTCTCCTCCTCCTCCTCCTCCTCCTCCTCCTCCGCCTCCTCCGCCACCTTAACGTCCACCTCCTCTTCATCCTTCTCGATCTCCTCGTCGTCCTCCTCTTCCTCCCCATTCTTCTTCTCCTTCATCATTCTTCTTCGTCTTCCTCTTCCCTCGTCTCCTCCTCCTCCTCCTCCTCCTCCTCCTCCTCCTCCTCCTCCCCCTCCCCCACGTCCATGTCCTGAACCCCTCCTCTTCCTCCTCTTTCTCCACATCGGCTTCATCCTCCTCCTCCCCCACGTCCATGTCCTGAACCCCTCTTCTTCCTCCTCCTCTTTCTCCACATCGGCTTCATCCTCCTCCTCCCCCTCCTCCTCCTCCCCCTCCTCCCCGGCCTTCACCCTTCCTCTTCCTCCTCCTTCTTGTTCTCTACCTCCTCTTCCTCCTCCTCCTCCTCCAGCACCACCTCCTCCTCCTCCTCTTCATCCTCGTCCTCCTCCTCCTTGCCCTCCTCCTCCTTTTCTTCCCACTGTTCATGTTCTTCCTCCCTCCCTCCCTCCC